AAATATTCCGGTTGCAGCTGTGGGAAAAAGATGGTTGCAGCAAGATTGGGGAAGAGTCAGCTTTTATCACAGTTGTTGCAAAGAAGACGATGGAATGGTTTCGCCATGTCACTTCGACAAACAAGGGTGAAGAACAGAGAAGAAAAAACCACATATTAAAAAATAAGAAGGATGAAGCAGCTGCAGACTTTTAAAATAAAAATGATTAATGGCAGTTTTCAAAAAGCAAAAACACAAGCAGCTACGAAGGAGAAACAGAGTAGACATGTGGACGCCATTAGGAGAAAGGAGCTGCAAATAAAACAAAAAGAAAGATGGCCGATACGAAGTGTTGACAAAAAAGGTCCATTTCAGCATAGGTCCGATTAGCTCGTCTTGAAATGGGAGAGATAAATAATATAGCACTCAGAAGCAGCTCGGTAGGCTTAAGGTAATGGGCTACCAGAAAAGATCACAACCTTGAGGTGCCAACCTCCAAGAGCCCGACAAACTAATCGACCTCGAGGTATCGAATTCGGGTGGCCTGAGGGTAGGTTAGACCTAAGGATGAGGTTGGGTTAGACCTCGAGATAAGGTCAAGTACGCTCTCGGCGAGGCCACGGGAGATTGGTCAATAGGTCCAATTCATGACCTAAAGACCTATGGGCTAAAAAAATAAAAGGGGGAAGAATCCTAGTAAGAAGGAAAGAATCACACGCTCAAGGACTCTTCCCAAGATAGAGACATGGTAAGTTAGACAAATACGATCTGGTTAGATCTCTTCCCTAACAGGAACTCTCTTCGACTTCAAGGTATCAATCCTATATAAGGGCAATATGTTTCCTTTCATCAACTAACTACATTCTACGCCTTTATTTATATACTTTTACTTATACAGTTTGAGCGAGTTTTGACTTGAGCATTGGAGAGTTTTCCATTAGGACCCCCTCTCGGCGTATTGCAGGTCATCGGAGCTCAAGGACAAGGACCATTCGAGGCATAGGTGTTCAAAACTAAGGGCGGACCCATAGAGAGGACCGCAGGGGCACGTGCCCCTGTGATGTTAGAACTTCTAATACATACATATATATATTTTAGTTATGTTAACTTCTTGTGGCACCCACTACAACTTCAAGCAAAGCCCCCCTATAATGTGAAAACTTCTAATACATATATATAGTATATATATTTTAATTATGTTAACTCTTTGTGAGCCCCCACTACAACTTAAAGTCTTCAAGCAAAGTTATTTTTCTCCCACTCCCAGCAAAAATTCGTACTCACTCAGTTCACATTGCATTCCTTCTTTTACTTTATCTTGTAGACGGCAGAACTACAGACGATTACAGAGAAAAAAAAATGGAAAAAATCTTTCAATAATTGAAGTGGTTTGAACTTCTACTTCCTCCGTTGGCTACCAATTTTAATATCAAAAAATATGTTTTATTTAATTATTTTTAAATTTTTATAACCCTAAATTTATATTTGGGAGTTTTCAAATTGATGTAATTTTTAATTTAGGGATTTCATGATTTTGATAAAATAGCATCTTAAAAGTTATTTCTTATTTGTTGTGCATTTTGTATGTATTATTTGTTTTAGTTATCTTTATAATTGTAATAATAGTTTTAGAATTAGCTTGTAATTTGTTCTTGTCACTCATTTCTAAGTTCTAACCTAATGTTATTATTATTTGTTATACTAGTTATGGAGAAATATTATAAAAGAAAATGTACGAGTGTTGCCGATGAAAAAAATGTCCGAGGAAAAGACCAAAAAAATCATGTTGATGTTGGCATGACCATTCCCGACTATCGCACTTCGAGTCTTATTTCAGACCTTGGGCTAAGAACTCCAATTCAAGGTTGCGATGTTAACATCCGATACGTGATTCGAAAAATCTATATGCTAAGAGGTCCTTGTCAACCTCGCAATCATGTATTTCCATCCACAAAAAAAGGTAACAAAGAGAGGCGATTTTGTGTTTCTTGGTATGATGACTATCTTACATGGTTGGAGTCATTTGGCTTCTACACCCCTCAACCTCTCAAAAAGTCGGTATTTTGTTTTTACTGTTATCTTTTCAGCTCCGATGGTGGTTCATTTGAGAAAGATGGATTCTCATACTGGAAAAATAAAGAGTATCTTAAAATGCACGTTGGGGCTCCTTGGAGTGCACATAATCAGACTCGAGTTAAATTTGAATCGTTTAAAAGTCAAGAGCAAAGTATTCGATCATGTCTTGTCAAGCATTCACATCAAACTCGAACATATTATAGGATTCGATTGAGCGCATCAATTGATTATACTCAATTTCTCCTACGTCTGGGCATGGCGTTTCGTGGACATGATGAATCCGAATTCTCGAACAATCGGGGAAATTTTCTTGAACTATTGCATTGGTTGTGTGATCATAATAATGAGATTAGGGATGTTGCTTTAACGAATGCTCCTGAAAATCTCAAGTTAACATCACTACGTGTGCAAAAGGATATTATTAGTGCAATTGCTTCTGAATGTCTAGACGTGATCATGAAAGATGTTCGTAATAATTTCTTTTCAATCTTGGTTGATGAATGTCGAGACATTTCAGTTAAGGAGCAAATGTCGGTTGTGATTCGTTACGTGAAGGATGGTCATGTTTTCGAACATTTTGTTGGTGTCCATCATATTTCCAATACCACTGCTCTCTCACTTAAGGCAACAATTGACCAATTATTCTCAACACACAAGAGGTCAAGGGTACGACCGAGCTAGTAACATGCAAGGTGAGTACAATAGCCTAAAAGCATTTATTTTGAAAGAGAACCCCTATTATATTCATTGTTTTGCGCATCAATTGCAATTAGCTCTTGTAGCTACAACCCAAAAACATCAAAAAATTGGAACTTTCTTCACGACAATACTCAAGTTGGTTAATGTTGTTGGTGGATCGGCTGAACAAGCCGGCCTTATTCGAGAGAGCCAAAGGCTGAAAGTTCTTGAATCACTCAGTGTTGGTGATATGAACTGGTCGAGGTCTTAATCAAGAAATATCTCTTTGGCGTCCAGGTGATACGCATTGGGGCTCTTACTACAATTGTTTGATTAACTTGATTATCATGTTTTCAACCATAGTTGAAGTTGTTGAGTTGATTGCTACGGGCACCACAAGCACTGAAACTAGAGGTGACGCCTGTATCTTATTTGAGTTGATGCTAAAATTTGAATTTGCATTTCATCTTCATCTCATGAAAAAAAATTTGGGACTTTCAAATGAATTGTCAAAAGCATTACAACAGAAAAATCAAGACATTGTTAATGCCATGAGATTGGTGCATTTGTGTAAAGTTCAGCTCTAAATGATGAGGAATGATGGATGGAATTCTGTTTTTGGGGCTGTTTGTTCATTTTGTGAAGCTCATGAGATTATTATCCCCAATATGGATGGGAATTTCATAACTGTTGGTCGTTCATGGTGTGAGACAGTAACAAATTTGCATCGTTATCGTGTGGAATTGTTTTATGTTGTCATTGATATGCAACTTCAAGAGCTAAATGATCGTTTTTCTGAGGTAAATAGCGACTTGCTAATTTGTGTCGCAGGCTTGTCTCCAAATAGCTAGTTTGATTCTTTTGACAAGGATAAGCTTCTTCGACTATGTGAGTATTATCCACTTGATTTTGATGCAACGGACATCTCTGAACTTGATGATCAATTTCACACATATATTCTTGACATGCACACCTCTAAAGAATTTAAAGGATTAAAAGGCATTAGTAATCTAGCAAAAAAAATAGTTGAGACTAAAAAGCATCATGTGTACCCATTAGTCTACAAGCTTCTCACATTTGCTTTAGTCCTTCCTGTGGTGACCGCTACTATGAGAGATCATTTTCTGCTTTGACTTGTGTAAAAAATTGTTTGCGCAACCGAATTGGGGATCAATGGTTGAGTGATTGTCTGATTGCACATATTGAGAAAGATGTATTTCATAAGATTGAAAATGATATAATTATTGAGCGCTATCAAAATATGAGAACACGTAGAGAACAATTGCAATGTGACGTTTGTCATTTTTTTTGGTTTCTTTTATGAATTATATTGTTGTAATGTGACGTTTGTCATTTTTTTTGGTTCTCTTATGAATTATATTGTGCCCCCTACTTTTAAATGTGTGTCCGCCCCTGTTCAAAACAAATTGTGACTTAAACTGATGTAACAATATATAAATGTACTTTTACTTGTTTTTAATTATCGCTATTTGTGTATTATTTATACGTGATCACTGCATTGTAACATTTCTATGAGATCGCGTCCTTTCCGATTAACAAATATCTAAAGCATATATTACAAGGGGAAAACAAATACAAGGTCAACATCCAATTTGACAACGACCGCGATATAGACGATTAGCGGGATGCAAGTTCTTTAAAGATGTCTTTGCTCATCATTGGTGTTTATTACAAGATAGAGACTGTCCCGACTTTCTGATAACATTTTTTATAAGCGACCTCAAAATTATTTTGGCTATCAAACCCACGTCAAGGAAAGATGACCTCAAAACTACATTTTGATCGATCGACTGCACATTTTTCGTCTTTGCCAAAATACTTAAAATTATTCGACGGTTCTCCTTACAACCAGAGTATCTCGAAACCAAGTACCACGGGCCTTTTCTAGAGTGCTTTCTATCTAATCAAGTTCTTATCGCTTTTCAATTATCAGAGATGGCTTCTTATTAAAGGCTAACCATCAAATGTCTATCAAGTAGGAAGTCCTACAAATAATCGTCAACTGACTTGAAGGGATGAAGGTGGCTGCATCAACACCTTTTGATGATCGAGCTATTGGCCTAAAAAGACATCTGAAGACAATAGAACTTTGACTGATCATTCAGAAGTTTTTCTTGAATCACCGCCTCATAAAATAACACACTCTCGCAGTCATCATAAATAGTGTTTCGAACTATGTCGATCTATATCTTTCTCCCCAAAGCGAAACAATATTATTTGACGATCTCTTTACACCAATAGTAAAAAAAACTTGGAGATCCCCGTAGACCACCAGTCATTACCAAATAATATGATATAAGGGACCTAGGTCCTGCGATCATGCGATCAACATCATAAAAAAAGATGTCCGTGTGCGACCCGGCATTATGGGGTTTCAACTCTCATGTGTTTTGAATGAACAATATATATTGCGTTTATAGTCAGTATATATTCAGTATAT